CCAGAAGCATGTGTTGATACAGTGGCTGGGAGATTGCTAGTCACAACTGGTACCATTTTCCAAGTAGTCTGTGCTGATAGATTGTTAGTCAAAAATGGTACCATCTGCCCTGTAGCCTGTGTTAATACCGCTGCTGGAAGATTGTTAGTTACATATAGTACCATATTTCCAGTAGCCTGTGCTTTGGTACTGACATAACTTAAAAAACCCTATTGACAGTAGGTTTTCAGTTGATAAATTATGTATTATGAATTAATAAATTCATTTTTTTCAGGCACAGTCAACGTAAGAAGTTATCCTTTAGACTTTAATGCTCACTGTGAATGTATCATGTACTATCAATTTGGCCTTTAGTGTGTGCACAAGTTGGTTATTCCAAAAAACGGTGTCCTGCACATTTAATTTAAATTATGAATGTATACTACTTTATATTATATAAATCATGAACACTAATAGGTGCATAATTTGTAAAGTTTCCAAGATCTGAATACCAAGCTAATGAAGGAGTCAGTGACATAATATGGAACACATTTTTCTCAGAACACAAGTAAATCTCATATTCTCCGATTTGAATAAACTGCTTCGCTGAGCGCAGCTGGATACGCCCGCAGAGGTCCAACTCTGAACAGTTGGGGCAAAAAAGGACACAATATTCAAGCTTGATACAGGTCTGAATTTGGATTGTATTAAATATTTGACATATTATAGGTTTCTGAATAATTGTAGTCAAAGAACTTGAAATTGGTTTATATGAATTGAATTTATATTCAATTAAAGATTTCTTGCTGTTGTGCAATACACTGTGCTGTTGTGCAATACTTAGTAAATCTGTTGTCAGACTATAAACAAATAAAGTTCAATTAATTCTCAATGTCATAATAGAAATTTATGAAAATTACATCAATAGATATAAACAATTCACCAAAGTTTCATGAGAATTGCTGACAGCATTTTTGAGTTATTGTCAGAAAACTGGAAAATCACCCCTTTTTAAATGAATAAAACCCCATAACTCAGAAATGTAAAATGTAAAATTTATAAAATTCTAAACGGAGCTTACATCAATAGTTATAAACAATTCACCAAAGTTTCATACAAACTGCTGAAAGTATTTTTGATTTTTTGTTCAAAAACTTGAAAATCCCCCTTTTTTATGAATAAAACCCTGTAACTCGGAAACATAAAATCTAAAATATATAAAAATTGAAAGGGAGCTCATGTCAATATATATAAACAATTCACCACAATTTCTTGCAAGTTGGTGAAAGCATTCTTGAGTTATTGTCCAAAAACTGAAAAATCCCCCTTTTTTTAATGAATAAAACCCCTTAACTCGGAAACGTAAAATCTAAAATTTATAAAAAACAAAAGGGAGCTCACGTCAATAAATTTAAACAATTCACCAAAGTTTTATGCAAATTGGTTAAAGCGTTTTTGAGTTAATGTCCGACATGTTGATGACGGACGGACAGACAGATGGACGGACGGACAAAGGTATACCATAATACGTCCCCTAAACGGGCGTATAAAAACCAGGATTTGCACTTAACACAATGCATGGCTTAATATCAATCACCAAAATGTGGTCTACAAGTTTCACTTTATACTGTAAAGCACAAGATTAAAACTGTTGGGCTTTTTATATTCCATTTTTGATATCAGTACCCCTGTTAGTGTAATCCAAATTAATATACAAGGAAATATTAGGGATTTAGCTCACATTTTGTATAAGGGTTTCTGTTTAGATTTGAATGGCACAAGGTATTGATATCAATATCCAACACTAGCTCACTTAATATATATTAAATATTTTACAAATAATTGAGGGTAGCAATGCCCTTTACCGTCAGGCGTCAAACGGTCATTTTCGGCTACCGTTAGCGTCAAATTGGTTATAATTTTATCGTGATATGTCAAAGTATCCTTATCGTGATTTGTCAGAGGTCTCAAATTATTAACCGTTACCGTTATTTTTTGAAAGAATTTACGTGATTTGTCAAAAACAGTCGATTTTTTATCGACATAAAAAAAATCTACATTTTATCGTCATGCACCAAAAGTTACGGTTAACGTCATTTGGCAAGATTTTTTACCATTATTTGTCATGAAGATACCCCCACTACGACCCTCATAATTCATAACAAGTGCAATACAGCATTTAATGGTCTGTGTTGCTTTCTCCCAAAAATAACAAGATATGAACATATTTGAAGTCATATTTTATAGTGTTCAGGAAATGAAGGATCAATTATTTGTTTCATTTGACTACATGGGAATGTGTTCAAATGAAACTGTTGAGTTGTAATTTAACAATGAATTATAACAAAACTGAAACATCAATTGCTTCATGTAACACCTGAAGAGTTGAGTAATAACTTTAATGTCATGAGGCATTTTACTGCAATCAGACATTTAATTTATCATTCTCTTTAAAATGCCAAAGAATACCGAAGACAATTTACTATATCACATGGCACAGTCAATTTTTTCAATGTCACCCTTTCATGCAGACAAATCAAAAAATGATAATTTGAAGGACAATGTATGGAATTTGCATCTATAATTTTAAGGACAATGCTCAAGTTATAGTTTCCTCCTCAGACCCTTCTCATAGAATGTAAACACAAAAAAAAACCTTCTTGCTTCGTATTTGTTTTTTTTTCTAATGACTGTAATGTTGTTATGTACATGACTTCATTACTTTCAATTTACAATTCAAAAGACAATAATAACAAAGCCTAGTGGTGGATAGAGCAGATTGTTACCCCCATTTTCACATGGCCTGAGTCGTTATAAATCTTTAATTTTATACCTTGCTAATGCTCAGTACAAAATTTGAATTTAAAATAGCCTGGGCTAATTGAATTTTTTCTTAATTATGAAACATGCACTTGATAGAAGTTTATATATTGCTATTTGTAGAGTGCTTGTAGCTGACAAATATACCTTAGTACTAGACAAAGGATAAATCTAAATATACCTTAGTTCTAGACAACGGATAAATCTAAATATACCTTAGTACTAGACAACAGATAAGTCTAAATATACCTTAGTACTAGACAACGGATAAATCTAAATATACTTTAGTACAAGACAAAGGATAAATCTAAATATACCTTAGTACTAGACAACGGATAAATCTAAATATACCTTAGTACTAGACAAAGGATAAATCTAATTATTACATTGGTTTCAATGAATTACATTGATTTCCCAGTGAAATAAAAACCGATAATTTCACATATGAAATAAACGTGGTTATTTCACTCCTCTGACGTCATACAACAATAGGCGTTGTCAAGACGTCGAAAACCTCGGATCAAAACAAATTGTGAATGCGTAGAAAACGATATAGTTCCTTACATTTTCTACTTTAATTTCATAAAAAAAAGCCAATTGCCAATGTAATAAAAAGAATAACTAATCAAAGAATTCAAATATCGAAAAATATTCAACTCGTGACCGAACAACACCGATAATTAACTCATGCGCTACGCGCATTCGTGAATTAATGTGTTGTTCGGTCACTTGTTGAATATTTTTCTCTATTTGAATTCTTCGATTAGTTATTCTATAAATACACCTGAGTACTAGACAACAGATAAATCTAAATATACCTTAGTACTAGACAGCGGATAAATCTAAATATACCTTAGTACTAGACAACGGATAAATCTAAATATACTTTAGTACTAGACAAAGGATAAATCCAAATACACCTTAGTACTAGACAAAGGATAAATCTAAATAAATATCACATAGTAATACAGTATTGATATTTTTTTTCTGATTGAATATTCACTTTATCTATTGTCATGCCTTGGAGGAAAATAATATATCTTTACAATAATATTACACAGACCATTATGTTGGAATACATGCAGTGATAACATTATTATATCTTAAGAATTTTAAAGTATAATATGAAATAGAAAACAATTTCAATAAAAGAATCATTATAAATACATACATTGTTGATGTAAGAGCTACCATTTGATTTTTATGGGGGAGCTAGGATGAAATTTGAAAAAAATAGGCAGGACAGGAGTTTTGAGTAAAAAAAAAGGCAGGATGAGACACTTGCAAAAAAAAAGTCAGGATGACAATTTAGGTAAAAAAAAGTCAGGATAAACTTTAAAAAAAAAAGGCAGGACCGAACAGAGTGAACAATAAAAAGGCAGGACAGAGATTACAACTAAAAAAAATGCAGGACAAAATTTTTTATCCTAGCCCCCCCATAAAAATCAAATGGTAGCTCCCTAAGGTAAATGTACATAATAACATTAAGCAACACTGGAGGTTTTTTTATTTGCAAGCACCTGCATATGGATTATAATTGTGTTCCTTGTGTCTCTTTAACAGAGTGGTGCTGCTTACAATGAAGCTATTGAACCAAAGTTTCTGAATGGTAAAGTTGAAGTCATCTATTCTGAAGTTTTACAGACCCCATCATGATTTGGTTGACTGCTATGGAATATTTGTGTCACCGAGCTACTACATGTGCTAGTGGAGCACTTCTATGCTCATCTTTCTGGATCACATATCAAAGTTCACTACAAGTTTTTGGTGGAGTTCATGTTGCTCAATAGTTGATTTTCACTGCTATGCTTTGCAGTCTGTTTTTTTTTCTCTTTCTTTTGGCCTTGGTGACCTATATATGAGCTGCGTCGGATAAAAATTGACCTTATGCAAATAAATAGCAATACAACTGTAAACCTATTTCGGGTTGAAAAAATCTCTATGCAAAAGCCTGTAACTGTTTGAAAATTGAGAAGTTATAAGAACCCTACAACACAGACCAAAATTCATCTTTTATTTCGTATTTCAATTTTCCAAAATCAGTCAGTCTTATACATGTACATTTCTATCCGAGGCAGCTCATATTTTGTTTTTGTTTTTTTTTAATTTTGAATGTATCGGCATTTTAATCTGTTTTATATTCATTTATTCTGTTGGAACCTTTTTCTCAATTTCTCAATCATCAATATGATAATCACTAATTCCATGATATATTATAATTTATTGGTTAGCAATAAAACAATTCATTAGTTACGATTTTAAACTTTGATAACTTTGTTACAATTTGCAACTAATTCTGAATTCAATCTAAGAAAAAGCATATTTAATGTATTCTCATTGCTGAATTTCATAAAATTTGCAACCAAACAAGTGACATTACCACAAACTATCCTATATAAATCTAAACTGCCTGATTATCTTAAGACATTTTGTTGATGATCTTCAGTACAATCACTATTCTTGGAACCACTGATAATATTTTATCACAAATACAATATGACAGACAAACCATGGTCTTTATTTGAGCTGAAATATTGAGGTGACTACTATCTTTCTATAGTACATCAACACTGAAAAATCTAAAATATTATCTCAAAAAATTAACAATAGATTTGCTGGAAGCATTCTAATTTCACATATTATGTCAAAAACCATAGAACATGATAACCTATTGAAGGTTAATGTATGATTGTATCCTGTTCAATTATTTCTTGCAATTACTTCAAATATTTTCAGATCTAATATGAACCAGCTACTTTAAGTGTTGATGATAATGAACTTCCAACAATCATTAAACTAGGACTCTCCATTACTTCTTTAAAAACTTCTAAGAATTGTGAAGCGTTTGTTTCATCAATAGCACGACTATCATAAGACACTGTCACAGTCATATTAGTCTGGGACTGCCCATCTTCACCAGCTACAAGACGTGATGACCCTATGGCCATAATAGCAGTCTGTGGTGGGTTAATAACTGCAGTAAATTCACTAATTCCAAACATGCCTAAATTAGATATTCTGCAAAAAAAGAAAAAAAGATGTCATAAAGTCCATTGCAAAAATTTGTAATCTAACTATAGCAAAACTTTGTAATGTAACAATAACATAACTTTGCCATGTTACTAATGAATACTTTGTAATAAGTTTATAACAACACTTTAGAGATACGCGTCGCCAGGTAAACTAAATTTGTGACAGTAAAACTACCGATGGAAGTCCGCAAAGCTTCAAATACAATACAGTTATCTCTATTCTAATGCAAAATAAACAAATCATTTAATTTTAGTCATTATAATAGTGTGTATTTTCATTAAACGAAAATCCCGCGAAATGATGTTATCTTCTTTGGCGCCTAAACTAGTGACGTCATAAGTATGCTTCTGGCATCAAACGTAAACGTTTACCTGGCGTATTCTGGCTTCTTGTCTGCTTCAGAATGAAATAAAATTTGATAAAAAGAAGGTTTCTAGGTGCAAAATGTGAGTTTTTTTTGCTTATTATTGGAGAAATTACATGTCAATACATTCCAGAATTCAAAATGTCGGCTTCCTTAGTTACAGACAGGGAGATAGAGAATTTTACGCTTATGGTCATCCAATCAGAACCATTGATACAAAATAATTGCATTAAAATTTGCAAAGTAAATGTCGAAAACTTTGTACTGTAATTATTTCAAAACTTTGAAATGTAATTTAATTTCAAAACTATTTCAAAACTTTTTTTTTTTGCCATGTCTTTGTCAGTTTGTCATCGACTTATGGGATTGAATATCCCTTTAGTATCTTCCCCTCTCCTTTATGGCCATGGTGTTGTCAGTTTGTTATCGACTTACGGGATTGAATATCCTTTTAGTATCTTCCCCTCTCCTTTATGGCCATGGTGTGTCAGTTTGTCATCGACTTATGGGATTGAATATCCTTTTAGTATCTTCCCCTCTCCTTTATGGCCATGGTGTTGTCAGTTTGTTATCGACTTACGGGATTGAATATCCTTTTAGTATCTTCCCCTCTCCTTTATGGCCATGGTGTGTCAGTTTGTCATCGACTTATGGGATTGAATATCCTTTTAGTATCTTCCCCTCTCCTTTATGGCCATGGTGTTGTCAGTTTGTCATCGACTTATGGGATTGAATATCCCTTTAGTATCTTCCCCTCTCCTTTATTGCCATGGTGTGTCAGTTTGTCATCGACTTATGGGATTGAATATCCCTTTAGTATCTTCCCCTCTCCTTTATTGCCATGGTTTTGTCAGTTTGTCATCGACTTATGGGATTGAATATCCCTTTAGTATCTTCTACCTCTCTTTTACAATGCATCTATAGGAAAAAATTGTTATGTAACAAAAGCCAAATTGCGTAATGTATAATTAAGCTGAACAATGATGGCCATCTTATCATGGCATAAAATCTAGGTTTTTATAGTCTAATTTTGTTTAAAACTTGTCTACTAATTTGTCTATCAAAATGATGATCTTTACCAAGGCTTAGAATTTGGAAAATTTGCTATCTGCACTTGACAGAATTATAAACATCTCTAGATACTCTATATCTAACACAACAGACAGAGTGTCCCACCATTTTTTTTTTAAACGGCCAAATAATAGCTTTTATCTGTAAGTCCTATAATCTTTACTTAATATCAAACTCACGTAAAAGTTCCACCTTGAAATTCATGCAGCTGTAGTTTACCTTCTCTTGCTCTGACGGCAAGATCCTGCAATTATAATGATTGATAAATAATTTAAGATAATATCTAACTTTAAATAACATCAATTTTATGTGTGACCAGGAATTTCTTCACAGAAAATCGGAGGAATGCAGGGCTTAAAAAATAATGCCCTCTTCTATTGTAGGCAGAGCCCGATACTAGTTTAACCATGTCATTGTCCTAAGTCAAGAATTTGTCAATGGTTGACTGTAGTTACATCTTGTTATCCTTTAAAGAATATGGTGGTAAAGGCAGAACTTTGGTAGTCTCCAATAAATAGTCTAGACTCCAACAATTTAACTAAGAAATATAGTAAAAAGACTTTCTATCATTGAGGTCCATATGGTGACTTCTAGAATCCTCCTAGTTTTTTTTCTGTTGTTAAATTGGAGATCAAAATAATTAGAAAGATAAAACAATTCTTGCTTTGTACAAAAACAATGAATAAAATATTCATATTGCTAGCTCTCAAGGTATTAAATTTTCCCTTTAAAGCGCTGTCACCCTAATCAGATACACTATAAGCAGATCAGTTTGACTGAGTGAACCCCTCTTTATATTTACTCATAAACTCAGGAAATGCCTTTAAATCTGTAGCTTGATTAGTTGACCCAATGATCCCTCCCCCTATTATGGCAAAATGTATACCAATCATCAATCGCAATACCACATTCACTTTGTTTACCTTTGTACTCTTGAATTCAAACTTCATCTTGCATGCCAAAAGACTAACATCTAGGGATACAGGTTTTCAATTAAAATCTTATACTTCTGTGATTTGCAAAATACGATCAGGGAAATATACAATTTAATTCATCAAAGACAAATAAGTCTATGCCTCTTGAACAAGGATCAGTATTGAAGATTGTGGGCAAATATCATTGTTTGTGATCATTGAACAGACTATTCAAAGATTTATGATTTTGCTTCGTAGAACAGGTAACTTGAAGCAAATGGAATGACTGTTTGTTCAATAACTGACTGTCCACGGCAATGAGCTGACACAACATCTGTTACCATTCCTGTTTTTGACTTACTACAATGCAATTTACAACATGTGCTTTTGAAAATTTCAGAGAATTTTATGCAATAGAAAAGCATTTACTTGAGAAAAAAAAATTCATGCAAAACTAATTCCGAGCAAAATGCAGACCAAAAAATTGCAGAAGTAATTTTTGGTTATTTTGAAAGGTTGATTTTTCAAACACAGGAGGGGAAAATCTATAAAAAAAAAAAACAAGGAGTCGCATTGGTTTGGCCTATGCCTGTTTTTGGTGAATTTAGTGTTAAACTGAAATTTATGTTAATTTTGACGTCTTAGAAAAATAATGCTAATAAGTAAGTTTCCAAAAAAAGATATTTCATCTTGAAATCTAAAAATTGTTTTTCTAGGAGTCTAATTATGCCTTTTATCTAGCCCTCCTTCATTCTGTTTAGTGTTTTTTTCTTGTTTGTTACTGTATTACCTTTATAGAACTGGATATTTCATCCACTGCTAGATATGCTGCATTCTTTATAATTGGAGTGATGAGCCCCTGATCAGTTGCCACAGCAACACTTATATCAACATTACCAGACATTTTCACTTCCTCTCCTTGCCAAACTGCATTCAGTGCTGGAACTCTCTGCAATTATAAGTTAAAAATGTTCTTATTTATTAAAAGGTTGTAAGTACATGGCCAAAAACATAAACAAAGAGTAGCAAGCATTGTGCTACGCATACTTCACCATAACTCAAAAGTATCTGTGAAGAAGAAGTTTGTTTCTTACAAAAAGAGCGCACACAATAAACTCATCACTGTCAAGCTGAGGACCAAAAACTAAAACTGTGAATGAAAACAAACAAAAAGATACCCCAGCACCACAGTACCATAAAAATAATATAAATGACTAAGTCTATGAAAATTTACAGAAAGGAAATGGTGCAAAATAATGAGTACCCTTTTTTGTTTAGGACAAGGATAATTTTCCTCTTCAGGTTTAATCCACCATTTTCAACATAAGGAAATGCCTGTACCAAGTCAGGAATATGACAGTTGTTTTACATTTGTTTGATTTGCTTAGGCTTTTGATTTTGCCATTTGCTAAGGGAGCAACCATTTAACTTCAAGGGTTGGGGGGAGGGGGGGGGGGGTTATGGTTTTTTGTCTGAGTCAGAAAATGTTTTTTTCCAAAATTTAACACTATAAGGTATGGGGAAAATCTGGATTTAGAATATTTTTTTTTTGTCATCTGCTTGACCACAATATTTTTTTTCATCAAATTGGGGATCAGAATATTTTTTCAGGAAAAAACCATGCACATACTCAGATAATGTTCTATAACTGTGTAATGTTTCAGCAGAATCTATTGAGCCATTGTTGAGGAGCTGCTCTTAGAAGGTATATTGATGGACTGATAGGCAGACAGCTGCTGACAAAATATAAAGTTATTCTCTTCTGACAGTAGTACTAGAGAAAAATGTTCATTTAACACATCAAAATTAAAAGTATCTTCAAACAGAAAGTAGTGTCTGACAGATCTGATATTCTAAGATTGGCCTAGCCATTTTTCAACTACAATTTTAGCAGAATACACAGTGTGTTACCTGTAAAGCTATAGCTGAATACACAGTGTTTTACCTGTAAAGCAGAATACACAGCATCTTACCTGAAAAGCTGAATACACAGTGTCTTACCTGAAAAGCAGAATACCCATTGTCTTACCTGTAAAGCAGAATATAGTGTCTTACCGGAAAAGCAGAATACCCAGTGTCTTACCTGTAAAGCAGAATACCCAGTATCTTACCTGTAAAGCTATAGCTGATGCCTTTATTATAAAATCATTCATTGATACTTTGATTCCTTCACCTATAAATAATGATACTTGTTACATCTTTTGTCAGTGTAGAATCATGTTACATCTTTTGTCAGTGTAGAATCATGAAGTAGTTTGTGAAAGAATGTTATCTAATCTATCAATTTGTAACAACCTTATAATTTATGAATGTTATATTATTTTGGAACTGTGCACATTTTTTTTACTTTTATGAGTACAGATATAAATTACTTCCCATTTGAGAACAATTGTTTCTTTTTAATCACATATAAAAAAAAAGTTGGATTAAACAGGGTATTTTATTTGGTTCAGGAATGATTTATCTTAATTAATCTAAAAGAAATTAATACTTAAGATTCTATTCACATCAAGGATGCTGAAGCCTTATTATAGTTTTCACTTTTTCTGTCAGTTTATCCGTCAATAATTTTTGTAAACCTAAAAGCTCAAAGAAAATTTGCAAATTGATTGTGGAAAAAAATTTAGTTATGTTTTAGAATTTCCCTGAATATTCATATATAGGTATAATTTGCTATTTGAAAAATAATCTGCTGGCCACCATTTATAAAATGGCTGCCAAAATAAACAAATTCATAGCTGTAAGATTTTATTGAACCTTTATATTTATGTACATGTCCTGAATTTTTTTTTCTAATGTCGAAATTTACCAAAATTGATAACCCATGGACATGTGTTGCTTTGCATCAATATTTTTTTGTTTTTGTGTCTCACACAAAAAAGTGTAAGTGGGGCCTTTCCTGACATGTCAGTTTTCTATTTGTATAGTGTATATTCCTAGTGCCCTACTAATGGCCACACTGCATGTGTTGGATTGTAAGATGAGTCAGCAAGTACAAGTTAAACAGATGATTTCTAATGATTTTTTTTTAATAATGCCTGGTATCAACTTGCTCACAATACAATTATTAAAAGAATCTGGTAAATTTTATTGACCTGGAATTGATATTTCACTTTTGTGTGCTTCAATTAATAGATGACTGATAGTTGTTTGCTTTACATCCAGTGGCATCAACAAATAAATGTAGAATTATCATCATTTAGGTAAAAATTGTACTCAAACTGTTGTTAGTGACCGTCTTGAGCTTGCAGTGATGTGTAAACTTTTGTTCTGTGTTGATGGTCTCAGTGTGACTATAAGATGAAGAACATCAATTAAAGCCCTATTCCTTTGTTTTGGGTTATGTCAAGAGTATTTATGGATTTAATGTGCTTTATAAATATACCTTCTTTTCCTTTCCATAATATTAATTCACTCAAAGACTCACCTAATAACTGTTTCCTTAGATGAGAAACTGCTTTTATATTGCTCTCTATTGAAATATATGAATGTGGTATTGTCATCTGAAATATACAATTGTCAATTTAAATTATGTCTAACAGGAAAATATGTCCATATGTCAATTTAAATGATGTCTAACAGGAATATACGTCCATTTGTCAATTTAAATGATGTCTAACAGGAATACATGTCCATTTGTCAATTTAAATGATGTCTAACAGGAATATATGTCCATTTGTCAATTTAAATGATGTCTAACAGGAATATATGTCCATTTGTCAATTTAAATTATGTCTAACAGGAATATATGTCCATTTGTCAATTTAAATGATGTCTAACAGGAATATATGTCCATTTGTCAATTTAAATGATGTCTAACAGGAATATATGTCCATATGTCAATTTAAATGATGTCTAACAGGAATATAGAAGCTAAAAAATATGTGAGGAAAAGTTCCATGCTCAGAAGGTATTTTCATTAAAATTAAAAGTACTGTCCAGCAGAAAGTGAATGCCCAGCAAATTTGAAAATTGCTCAATAGTACAATTCATTATAATAAAGGAACAGATCAAATTTAGATCATTCTTACAGATACTTAGTTATTTGTGACAAAAGTTTGGGAATATTTAATGATTGTAAGCCATTACTTTAGATTCAGTCAGTCGCCTGGCTATTGTTCTTCTCATGTTAGTTAAAGGAATATCTATAAACTCCTCCTCTTCTCCAGGAACAAATGTAGTAGTAGACTGGCTAGTTTGGATAACTTCCTCCTTGCTAGGTGTCTTTGAGATAGTCCCGAGATCTTGCTTGGACAAACTATTAGATTTTACATATTTCAGTATGTCCCTAAAATTTAGATATACAATGAAATAACAATAAAATGCTCCGCTGGGCGCAGCTTGATACGACCCCAGAGGTTGAACCCTGAACAGTTGGGGCAAGTATGGACACAACATTCAAGCTTGATACAGCACTGAATTTGGATTGCGATTAAATATTTGACACAGCATAGGTTTCTGACACCAAATGAATGTGGTCTAAGAACTTAAAAATTTTAATTTATCTATTCAAACCATATCATTATTATTTGCTTTTATATATAAATCAGAAATAACCAATCTAAAATGCAAAAATTTTAAAGAAAAAAAAAGGAAAAAAAGGAAAAAATAATTGTGGATAGTGTCCACATGTGGACACAGATGATGCCCCCGCTTGCATATCATATAGTTATAAAGGGACATAACTGAAGAACTGTAAAAGTGACGCTACCCAAATTTGAACTTGATCTGAGTTTTGTGGTAATAAGCATTGTGTGTAAGTCTCATAACATTTGGTTGAGGCTAACTTAAGTAGAGAACAGAAACTAAAAATTCAGCAATTTTTATATTTGTAAACACACATAACTCTTGAACGGTTGTGTATAAGTTTTATAACATTTGGTTGAGACAAACTAAAGTTAGAGAACGGAAACGAAAAATTCAGCAATTTTTATGTTTATAAAGGGACATAACTCAAGAATGGTAAAAGTGTCGCCACCAAATTTCGTACTTAATCTGTATTATGTAGTAATAGGCATCGTGTATAAGTTTCATAACATTTGGTTGAGACAATCTAAAGTTAGAAAACGGAAACAAAAAATTTGTACTTTCTTAGTTTTGTGGTAATGAATATTGTGTATAGGTTTCATAATGTTTGGTTGGGGCAAACTTAAGTTACAGAATAGAAACTAAAAATTTTGCAATCTTTCGATTTATAAAGGGGCATAACTCAATAATGGTTAAAGTGACACTACCCAAATTCAACTTGATCTGTGTTTAATCAGTGGAAATCAAAATTAAACATTGCATTGTATAAAGCATTGATTGTAGTTGATTCAACTATAATCATAGACAAAGGAAGATAACTCCAATTTTAAAAATTACTTGATATTTAGAAGAAACTAAAAAATTTGCAATTTTTCCATTTAAAAAGGGGCATAACCCCTTTTTTGGCCCCTAATTCCTAAAATCTTAAGGCAATTACCCCTAAAATCAATCCCAGCATTCCCTTTGTGATATGGAACCTTGTGGTACAATGTCAGAGAGATCCATACACTAACACACAAGTTATGTCTGGAAGTTACAAAAATGCTTATTTTTGGCCCCTTTAGGCCCCTAATTCCTTAACTGTTGATACCATAACCCCCAAAATCAATCCCAACCTTCCTTTTGTGGTATTGAACCTTATGGTAAAATTTCATAGAGATCCATTTACTTAAACTAAAGTTAGAGTGCGAAAACCAACGTGTCTTTAGACGACGACGATGCTGCCGCCACCGCCGCCAGAGTCATACCAATATACGACCGCAAAATATTTCGGTCGTATAAAAAACTAAACAAATCTAATAATTTTGTTTGCAAAATTTTTAACCCTTACCATGCGGGGGCCGTAATATTACGGCCTCTACCCAAAATACCGTTCTTTGGCTCCAATGGCTCTCCATACTTTTAGAGGTCAACTGTATGATATTAATTTTGAAGTTGATGCATGTTCCCTCAACCTAAGGCTATTCATTGTCATGTTTCTCAGTTTAAGGTGCATTTTGAGCCCAAATACGAAGTTGGAAAATTGAAATAGGATAAAACCGGTGATCAAACCCACAACCTACTGCACTTAAGGCAAGCACACTACCAGAAGACCACCAAGATAGTCAATATTAAGGAAATTTCTGTCAAGTTTTCTATCAATCAATTCAAATGTGAATTATTAATAAATGGAGAAAGAACCAATAACCTTGACATACTCACCCTTTGAGAAGTCTACCATGAGGACCAGATGGCTGAACTGTTGCTGCTGTTATATTGTACTCTTCTAAAAGTTTCCTAACAGACGGTCCTATCGATAACTCTGTGCTGAAATATAGATGCATTCATGTAATTACATGTACAATTAACATTTTACTCAAGGAAATATCAATTATCCTTGTTTAACCTGTTTTTGAATGCCTTAGAAACGTAAATATATAACATACCAGCATAAGATTGCTAATCCTATGAAAAAAAGTGCTAAATTACACCTTTTGTGCATTGCAACACATTACATCCCTGTTATTCCATACACATAAAGAATGTGCACACTTACTGAAAAGAGTTGTTGGTTTTTATGGAAAAAACTGCATCTTTTCCTTTTTTTTTCAATTCATATTTTGTTTAACAGTAAATTGAATATTAAAAAACTGAATATTGTATCCATTCCATGCACATTTTGTCATGTTGTAGTTAAATTACATTGTTTAGTTACATTATTTTTGTTTTAACCCACTTATATTAAAATAAGGAGATGAGGTATGATTGCCAATGAGACAACTATCCACCAAAGTTTAAATAAGTGGATGTAAGCAATTATAGGCAGCCGTATGGCCTTCAACAATGAGAAAACCCCATACCTCATAGTCAGCTATAAAAGGCCTTGGTTTTTACACTAGTAATTTTTGGGGCCCTTTATAGCTTGCTGTTCGGTGTGAGCCAAGGCTCCGTGTTGAAGACCATACTTTGACCTATAATGGTTTACGTTTATAAATTTTTACTTGGATGGAGAGTTGTCTCATTGGCACTCATACCACATCTTCTTATATCTACTTGACATAAAAAATATGAAACAATTCAATTGAGAAAAGTAACGGCCAAATTTATTACAAAACAATTTACGAAAAACAAATATGACGGACATGAACCAACCATTGAACTACAGGCTCCTGACTTGGGACAGGCACATAAACAATGTGGCGGGGTTTAACAATTTTGTGAGCGCTTAACCTGGGACAGTGCCTGTATTTGATTATTCTAATTAATCACTTTGTGTTCAAATATGTATTTTTGGGCTTTCTTTCATGCAAGGGGGGAGGGAGGGGGCAACTTTTAAAGAGTTCTAATAAACTAACCCTAAACCCTAAACTAAACCCTTTCACTAACCCTAATCCTATAACCTAACTTTAACCTAGAACAAATCCTAACCTAACCCTAACCATAAATGAACCCTAACCTAACCCTAACCGTAAATGAACCCTAACCCTAAGGTAAAAGAAGGCATATTTTTTCTGTTAACTCCAGTTATTGTTTTGTAAAAATCAACATAAGGAATTCAATTAATTTCCTTTCTTTACTTTATCAAAAGGAGTTAACTCTGCATTAAACATATATAGCTGTGTTGCAATATATTTAATAGTATATCAGTTAAACACCATCTTTTGGAGGGAGATCCTTAGGGGATGTTCTGGTTGAGTTTAAATCCATAAAAATAACAGCAAATAAAGTGTTGACACAGCGATGTCTCAACTGTGTGTAATTGCAACTGTCGAAATTCAAAATGGGGGCACTGTATCTGTACGATTGGAAAAAGGAAAAGATAGACATCTCTAATACAGAACAAAAGAGCAAAGCTTACAATAAAGGACAAAAGCCAACAAAAACCTAACTTATGGTGATTTTGTATATTTGACTTACTGTGAACTTTTAGTTGTTGTAGTGTGGTCTTCTGTTGACGGTGATTTTGTATATTTGACTTACTGTGAACTTTTAGTTGTTGTAGTGTGGTCTTCTGTTGACGGTGATTTTGTATATTTGACTTACTGTGAACTTTTAGTTGTTGTAGTGTGGTCTTCTGTTGACGGTGATTTTGTATATTTGACTTACTGTGAACTTTTAGTTGTTGTAGTGTGGTCTTCTGTTGACGGTGATTTTGTATATCTTACTTACTGTGAACTTTTAGTTGTTGTAGTGTGGTCTTCTGTTGACGGTGACTTTTGTGATGTGGAAACTGGTTCTTTCTGTGTTGAATCAGACTCTACAGGTATCTCTACTGACCTCCAATCATCCCCTTCTTCTACCATCACAGCAATCAATGTTCCAATCTTTATGTCTGCAGTATTTTCAGGTTTCTGTAAGATTCAAAGATTTGATAAATGTTCCAATCTTTATTTTCTGCAGAATTTTAAGGCTTCTGAAAAATTAAAAGATTTTATCAATGTTCAAATCTTTATTTCTATCATGGTTCAAATCTTACTTATTGCAGATTTTTTAGTTTCTGTGAGATAATGTTTGTACTCAGCCAAGATTTCAGATTTCAATTTTATGATTATCATTCACACACACATCTGAGAATATTTCTTTCATAAATCAATAAATAAATAAAATAAACTATAATGCTTTTAAGTTCAAAAGTATGAGAATTGCTCATTTTTGTGTATGAAGTTATAAACATCTGCATTTTTATCTTTTTGGTCAAAGTTTAGTTTTGCCACAAATGCCTTCATAAGCAACATTACCTTTGACATTGTCATGAAAAATTTAACAAATTAAAAAACCAAAATCCTTATTCAAAGGACAACATGGGATTGTTTGGACCAAAGTACAATTTGGCAATTAGGCCTTCATCAGTTCCAACATTTTCTTTCATTTCTGCACATTTTATATTTGGATATGACTCTTATCGCAAATTAACACTTCAATCATTTGTCATTAGGCTGCATCTAAATATATTAATGTGAACTTTCTACTGAATTTTGTTCAGTTTTCTTGAGACAATTAACATATCCAAATAAACAGTATGGATGTCATTAACCTCATATACAGACTTAAATCTAAAAGGTGAGATACGTAAGTATATATATTGGAGAGATTGATAGAGACCTTTCAGACATGTCCAACAAGAAAAACAATACAATTTCAGAACATTTAAATACTAAAAATTGTTGTAAAGAAGATATGAAGTAAATAAAAATGTATATGAAAACAAATGAAAAGTAAAAAATATTACAGGAATTTTGTAGAATCACTATAGCACCCTGGATAAGGAGGATGAACATACAGAAAACTTACATTGTAAAAATGACCAGAGCATTCGATCCTTCATCAGATCTAATTATAGCAGATTCTTAATTTGATATTCCAAACAACATGACATGAATCAATTGATTTATTCTATTGAAAGTTTGGATATGATTATCTCCCTTGGATTCATTACTTTTTTCTAGAAATGCAAGACAATGGATAATTTCTGAAATTAAACATAAAACATATATCTGAATGTACATCCCTCTTTTGAAATCTGAAATGTCAAAAGATAACAATACAAATTTAAGGAAAAGAGTGGTTTGCTTGAACATCTGTTCTGTTCACTATAATTATTCAGAACCAACAGATAAATATAATCATGAATTGATACATATATATTTAGTAATATTTTCCTGAAATGCTGTTGAAAATAACTTACAAGTATTTTAGCCAGGATTCCTTCATCATCTACCTCCATGCTGACCACAGCTTTGTCTGTCTGAATCTCACATAACACATCACCTGGCACCACAGACTCACCTGTTAATGGTAAAGCATCACAAGCACTGTATTTTACAAATCTATATATAAATATCTTTTATATCATCTCTTGGTAAAGTTTTTAGGGTCTTCTTTTGAAAATGTTTTGCTTTAGGGGTCTCAACCCATATAGAGCTATACTAAACTATCCTTAGGCATAACCCTAAACCTTACCCTAACCCATACCTTAACCTCATACTAGCTCTAACCCTAAAACCTAACCCTAACCTAACCATAACCATGAATGAACCCTAACTCTAAAGTAAAAGGGACCCTTAAAGTAAAAGAAGGCCGTTTTTAGAGTTAGCAACACCTAGAGCATCAAAAGTGGTGCTGTTGTTATAACTGGTGTGTTGGTAACTCTGTTATTTGACTGTAACTTACATATTTACATTTGTAGTTCACAAGCATATTACCAACCCTGTAGTTTATTACTTTGAAGTACACATATGATACAAGAAAATATCATTTATAAGTTAACAGTGACAAAACTGGGAAATTTATTTCACAATTAACAAGCAGTTCCCTCATGATCAGGGGGATGCTTTGGTATTCTTCATTAATTCAGTTCTGCAACAATCTAATACTCTGATTCCAAGTTATAACTGAACCTATTTTCATATCATTCTCTGTCCATGTGAAGTTTTTTTTCTCACCTTGTTGAAAATGCGAGTTGTATTTATATTGATGCCAAGGCAAATGGAAATGGAAAAGAAGTAGTGAAATCATTAGCCTTTTAACATTCTTTGAATAAGGAGAGACGTTTTATTACTTCTTTACAATGTATACAAAAAAATAATACATTATTTTCTTTTCCCAGTTGCCCCTTAAAAATCTCCTAGCTCAGGATCCCAACTAATCATAAACAAATAAATTACATTTGGCCAAAAAGTTTCAATGAACAATGTATTGAACTAGTAACAGTGATTTTTTTCCAAAATGACCACTGTACCAGCCATGGATCAAACCCTAAACCTACAACTTTACAAACTAAGCTAAAGGTTTGCATCACTAGATCCGCAAACTGCGGGTTGTTGTAGTTCTATTAAGTATTTAGGGAAGCATTCCTACATTTTCCAAATCTCATTATTATACCATTGGCATTAGGTCCAATATCAAACCCTAGCTAAAACTCTTAATCACTATTTTCTTTCTATTTGGAGGTCTAAATGCTAAACCCACTGTTTAAAAGATTTAAAGGTTTAAGCTGGGATATGATGACCACACCTGTCTACATTTGACAATCTCCCTGACAATATTTTTAACATAACTGGTTTCACATGCATGTATTATGTAATATATATACTGTTAGATCCTCTCTGTTTTTAAAGATTTACCTTCCTTTTTCAGCCATTTGACAATAGTTCCTTCTGACATTGTAGGAGATAGAGCAGGCATCAAAACTGGTGTTGATGCTGAAAAATATAATAGCATTCTGTCATAGACCTTTTCATTAAAAATATTAAAATACAAGTGCCTTGTATCTACTGCTGTGAAGAAAATGCTGTATAAACAATACCGTGTAGACAATACTGTATTGACAATACTATATAGACAATACTGTATACACAATACTGTATAGGAACAATACTGTATAGACAATACTGTATAGACAATACTGTATACACAATACCGTATAGACAATACTGTATAGACAATACTGTATAGACAATACTGTATACACAATACTGTATAGACAATACTGTATAGACAATACTGTATACACAATACTGTATAGACAATACTGTAAAGACAATACTGCATACACAATACTGTAAAGACAATACTGTATAGACAATACTGTATAGACAATACTGTATACACAATACTGTATACACAATACTGTATAGACAATACTGTATAGACAATACTGTATACACAATACTGTATAGACAATACTGTAAAGACAATACTGCATACACAATACTGTAAAGACAATACTGTATAGACAATACTGTATAGACAATACTGTAAAGACAATACTGTATACACAATACTGTAAAGACAATACTGTATACACAATACTGTAAAGACAATACTGTATACACAATACTGTATAGGCAATACTGTATACACAATACTGTATAGGCAATACTGTATAGACAATACTGTAAAGACAATACTGTATACACAATACTGTAAAGACAATACTGTATACACAATACTGTAAAGACAATACTGTATACACAATACTGTATAGGCAATACTGTATAGGCAATACTATATAGACAATTTTCCACTTCAAATTGTGCATACTAACTTTTGACAACCTAAATAGTGACTAAAACCAAAGTTTCAAAATAATGATCAACATAAAGTGTTCAAATGAGCAAGAAACTTTGAATTTCTTCAGTGGGAGGACGGGAGGAGACCTACAAAAATGGGATTATTGTACTCCCTTCCGAGGTTCGCATGTATGCTGAATGTACAGGTAGTGCAACAACAACAACAACAAAAATAGCTTAAAGAATTTTAAGTATGTATAAATGTGCGTTCAATCTATCATTGCAATGTTCAATAAATAATTTTCTATTCTTATATTGTGCTCCCTTCCGAGATTCACATGTATACTGAATTTGCAGGTAGTGCAAACAGAAAAAAATAGCTAAAAGGATTTTAAATATGTATAAATATACCATTCAATCTATCATTGTTATGTTCAATAAATAATGTTCTATTCATATAAATTTGTCCAATATATGTAAAACAACGTATACTGGGCAATGACACAAAGATGGTACAAAATGTACAAAGTATCAAGATGCTTCACTTAAAAAAGACATAATTTGCAAATTTAATGTAAAATTTTGTAGGTCACAATAACTGCAGGTAACAATAAAAAACGATATTATTGTTACCTGCAACATCTGTCTGGATATATATTCTTGGCAAGAGTTTAAAAATCCACTAGCCCGACGCCCGGGGCTGGAACATTTATGCCTTAGCCAATTAAAACTTGTAATCCAATGTGCCCGACGGACTAGTTCATAAACTTCTTGGCGTTACCAAGAAAGTAGAAAAGTAGAAAATCAGTTCCTCACTATTTTTATCTTAGCCAATCAGATTCAATTACTTCATCCAGGATTCCAGGAATTTGAACTGATTTTGTACATGTTTTAAAAATATAACAAATTACTGGTATAATGTATTGATTGCAATTCACATACTTTCAATATAGATTTCTCAGTACTGGGGGTATTGTATATTGCTCATGCCAAGACTTTCAATTGACGGTACTGATGCATTCATCAATATGACCTGCAAAGGCAGACAACACGAAACCATGCAACAAAGTATTGCTATATATTTTAGTAGGGGCGCCCTCGGAATATTGTCAGTTTTGAAAAGAAGAATTGTAGATGAAGGGGGATATGACGCTGATACCTCATCAAAAAGTAAAAAATGCCAGATACAACCAGGAAAAGAGGAAAGAACATTTATTTTTAATTGTGGACAGATATTCCCATGGGCAAGGTCGGTTGTTGCTGATGGTATTAAAACCAGAGACAATGTTTTTGAATATTGCCTTTATTTTCCCTATCACTCTGATAAAAAGTCTCAGGCTAGCAGTTCTTCCAACAGGACTAGTAAAATCCTGCTACCAATAAGTCCTGGGCTAGTGAGATACAATATATAACCAAATTTTTTTACCCCTGTCTTGGTAATTAATCTTGGAAGTAACAATAATCATTTCTTATTGTTAATTTTTGCCGGTCATCATAGCCAGTGGCAGATTTAAACATTAATTAGTTTGAAGTTGCCTACCCATGCCTCAAAGGGTTGGGTAGGTAGGTAGGTAGGGCTTTTATGTTTTTTTGGCCATGTTAACAAGAAAATGATGTAAGAGCAGAAAAAATAAACAAAAAACAAAAAAAAACGAATCGATTTGTGCAGGGATGATTCCAGCTGTTTTTACATGGGTCCCTTGACCATCAAATTGGGATGAAATAACAATATTTTCCTGTAAAAACAGAAAATGTATATTAAGTTTCAGCTGTACACTGATGTAAGAAGTTGTAACATTTTGAATAATTCTGGATGGGCTACTGAATATGATGTATTGTTTATATCATATGTGATAACCAAATCGCTTGACAGTTATTTGATTGAGACCAGGGAAGTCTTTACATTAAAAGATCATTGCACATGATGCACCATCTTTTGTAGGCTTTCATCTTACAATGTAGCTATGGTAACCTAGGCCTTTTACAATAACATATATATCAGCTAACATAAACCAAGGAAAAAATCATCCATGTGGGAATTTTTTCAACAACAGATCATTTTATAAATTAACCTTGATTCAAAGTGATTTCAAATTGAACTGACCAATTGTCGAATTCAGAAAAGCAATTACGAAAGTTTATATACTTTATAACTGATCAAGATTTTTTGTGATTTTTGCTAGCTGTTTAATATGTAGAAGGTTGCCATAGTTTAACTTTTGTTGTCACTCTAACAAACAGGAAATTAAAGCATTGAACCATTGTATTTTAATATTATTTTGATCATCTTCACTTTTGAAACAGTTCCATAATGTCGACATCGTATTAATAATTTCATGAATGATCTATCATCCACACGTATTTTCAAAAACGCTCAAACTTATGACTTTTGCGGAAATAGAGCCTGACAAAATATAAAATAATTTCTTTTACAAAGTTTTCATAATATTATATAACAGACTCTGCTGGGTGATCTCCTTTTACGAGATCGGCGCCCATTAACATTTATTCATCAATGTTATATCAAAAATTTGAATTTTGCTCTCTCTCGATGTCTGCCTTGATGACACCCATTTTGACAATAAGCGTCAAATGTCATATCAACCTGCTGGGTGATCTGCTTTTGCGAGATCAAATACTCTAATAACATCAAATCATTTAGGCCACATGTTGACATAATTTAATCGTTGTAAATAAAGTGGAATCGTTGACATAAAATTGAGAATGGAAATGGGGAATGTGTCAAAGAGACAACAACCCGACCATAGAGCAGACAACAGCCGAAGGCCACCAATGGGTCTTCAATGCAGCGAGAAACTCCTGCACCCGGAGGCGTCCTACAGCTGGCCCCTAAACAAATATGTATACAAGTTCAGTGATAATGGATGTCATACTAAACTCCAAATTATACACAAGAAACTAAAATTAAAAATGATACAAGACTAACAAAGGCCAGAGGCTCCTGACTTGGGACAGGCGCAAAAATGCGGCGGGGTTAAACATGTTTTTTGAGATCTCAACCCTCCCCCTATACCTCTAGCCAATGTAGAAAAAACAAACGTACAACAGTACGCACAGTAAAACTCAGTTTAAGAGAAGTCTGAGTCCGATGTCAGAATAGGAAACAAAAGAAAATAAACAAAATGACAATAATACATAAATAACAACAGACTACTAGCAGTTACTGACATGCCAGCTCCTGACCTCAATTAAACTGATTGTAAGATTATGTCTTCATCATATGAATATCAGGCACAATCCCTCCTGTTAGGGGTTTAGTATTATACCGTCATAAAATATATGAGAAGAACATAACCTGTGTCATGCCCAGGGCCTAATCTAGGATTTTGAAGAGGGAGAAGTGACTTCTCCTTCCATGAGAGAGAAGGGAGAAGTGGTCAACTTCTTGGAGAAGCGAGATTCCATTACCGTTTCGGTTGCATCGTGTTTTCAAGCTTATCACTGAGCCTTAGGAAATTGTTTTATATTCAATAAAAGATGTACTTGCAGTTTTTTCATGTTATTGTACACAATGTATATATAGAAAGTTCTTAATAAAAAGTATTAGACAATATATAGTTGTTATTTATTTATTGATACCATAATGTGTTCTAAATAAAATTTGTTGATTGGGACATGAGGGAGTAGCCTAGTAATATTATCAAGATTATGATGCATTAAATTCATGTGCATCTGCCTCAATTTATTTTTAAAACTCCAGAAAAATATGATGAATTTCACATGACTGGGAATTTAATTTATATCACCACTTGTCATTGTTTTGTAAAACATTATTGAATGTCCAGGACATTTATGTTAGTTGTAGTAAATTGAGATTATCGTTAAAGATTTTAAGTCTATATATGAAAATATCTTTCAATCTCCAGTTAATTATCCGATAAAGAGCTAAAATTTCTATCATTTTTTAAAAATATCATCCATATCAACGAAGTGGTCATGAGAAAAAATTCACTGCTGATCACAAATTATCTGGTCGAGTGTCGTACGTTTGCAATCACATTATCCATCAGCTGTCTTTCTACCTTTTATATTTCAATTTTTATTCAATGAATATAAAATACCTACCGTTAATTCCCACCCTTTACCTACCGAATAATAAAATTGATCGACTCGTGTAAATAAAACAAATCAGCTGAGTGATTACGTAACATCCTCAGATGAAAATCATCGTAAAACGATAACTTAAACAGACGGTCAGTTTTCCGTTTGAACAGTTTTGAAAGTTATATCCGAGGATGTTCAAAGTCGCCGTTGTATTTATTTAATTTGATCGTTTACAGTATTAGTCCTGGGTCGTTTCGAAAATCTCGATTTTTCCTTGTCAGCCGCCATTTTTTTTTACCTGTGACACTTGTCAATCACAAGTTGTCTCCCTTTTACCGATTTTGATAGCGATTTGACTTCGCTATGAAGTCAGTCGGCCGGCGAGATTTAGCGATTTTCAAAATTCTTTGGCGACTTAAATCGTCATTTCGCCGGCAAGATTATGGCCTGGTCATGCCAACAACTGATTTTAGAATAAATATGTTTAATTCCGATACAAAGACCCTATAAGTGAATCAATATTAAAGCCAAAATATGCAATTTTTAATGACCTGACAACAGTATCGTAACTATATCCCTTCTTAATAAGTCTGTTTAAAGGTTTTGTTAACTTTTGAGGTGAATACTGACATTTTTGTGTTTTGTAAAGAATATTACCATAAAAGATTGGATGTGAAATACCCGAACGTATAAGATGTCTGCATGTTGAGTTATATTTATGAATGATGTCCTTATACCGATGATAAAATTTAGTAAATGTTTTGACTAGTTTATGATATCGAAAACCCTGGTGTAATAATTTTTCAGTAATATATAAATTTCTCTCGCTAAAATCTAATACGTTGTTACATACACGAGCGAATCGTACAAGTTGAGATATATAAAAACCATAAGATGGTGACAGCATTATTGACGACAAACTATGAAAAAATTATAGTTGCCTAAATCGCATATACATTGACACTATTTTCTTCCCATTGCCCATATTTTATTATTATTGATAGAACGTCTATATATTATATATATAGTGCCTGTGAATATAGTCTTGACCTTTTGCACATCAATTCCTGTTTTGAACTGAGTAGCTTCAGGTTGTTTAAAATTAATCAATCATTGATTATGAAAAGCAGCTAAATTCAAGCTCGTCATCACATGTCAGACAGTAAAACTACTTCCAGAACTGTCAAGGGCAAATCTGACACACTCTAACTTAACCTGTTGATAAATGTACTTATAAAAATTCACCTTGGTCTGCACATTTTGTGAAGAATGTTCTTGCTATATATTGCCCATTTTCTGTTATCTTATTAGGTTCCTTCAGGCCTGTTGACAATAAATGTTTAGAAAATCGTCTGCCAAATCTGACAATGCCAGAAGCAGCCATCGTCGTCTTGTCAAAACAGAGCTAATTAATCTGAGGGATTTTTTTATTTTATCAAACGCATAAATGACTATGACTTCTATATATTATAGAAACCTTCATTTATAGGAGCACCACACATGCATTAGATTCATGTTGCAACCGTGAGGGAAATTATTACTTTTATCGGAGAATAGTATATGTCGACATATTATGTCACAGCTTTGGCAATTTCTATTTCTGTTTAGATTTACATGGCGAAGAGGTAAATTAATTTCCAAACTAATAATCTTCTACCGGCTGGACGATATTTTTACAACCAAAATATTAAAATTTTGTACGCCAGACGCGCGTTTCGTCTACAGTGACGCTCGAATAAAAAAGGTGAAGAAGACGAAATAAAGTTCGAAGTTGTAGAGTATTGAAGACCTTAAATTCCGAAAGGTTATGAACTTAAAGGTAGTCTACTACTGGGGAAGAAAATCCATATCAAGTATTCAAAGTCTATAAAATTGACTGAAAAGTTACCACAAAGATCCTTTTCTTCATTCGCTATTGATAAAGCAATCAAGTTTTCTGACTTATCCAACATGATATATACCTATATTATTGGTCATTGTTCGTTTTCAAAATCCGTCCATATCTTAGATAGAAATTGAGAAAATATTTTTATCAATTTAATTCAATTTTATTTAATCTAATGAACTCTGAATCATTTAAATGAACAAAATCTTAAATATGCAGTCTTAATGAAACTGGGAAGATCATTTTGAAAGCAAAATTTACCGATAGAAATTATGTTGATATCTTAATGTTTGGTACTACGCGTACATGTAATATTATAAGATAAATTTACTTTTTTCTAATTACTTTGGTTATTACAGTGTTCAACGACCTATTTTGACTTTTGCTTTTTGTCACCTACATAACCGTATATTATCAACTACACAACAAAAATGTCCACTACATAACAAAATTAGGTCAATTGTTATGTAGTTGACCGTTATGTAGTGGACATATTATTCACACTTTGGGGCATTTTTTAATACCACTGATATACTTCGACATCACATACACTGTGCTTTTTCAATAAAACATAGAAAATCATTGATTATAATGATATAGATGTGGACGTGGTGTTCCATTGTTATCTTGAAAAAAAATCCCGTTACCAAGTGGACAAGTTAAAAAAAAATACGGGTCTACCTTTACTTACTTTTAAAAATGCTTAATAAATGCAATAATTGTTGATACCATTACAGAGTTATCTTTTTATGCTTCCATTATTATAATGATATGTAGAGTTAGTGCTGAGGCACTCTCTAGTAAAAAAGGGGTGTCAGACGTTATATGACAGCAAGCAAAAACGTTTTCGTTATGTAGTTGACAAAATATCTTTGATACGATATTTGGTATTTTTGGAGTGGGAACTTACGATGCACTATGTAGGACACCAAAATTCAAATAATGATAAAGCCGTATTTTCCTCACAGGTCAGTCGCGTACAAGATTATTGACGGATTTTGAAAATGACCGTAACGTTACTATATAATATGTAATGCCTTACACGGTTAGCAGCCGTATTGAATTTCAACTGCCATACCAGTCACATAATATGTCCAAATTTCCTGCAACTTACCGTGTGTATTATCAGAAGTCCTCTCTAATAATGGACTTCTGGTATTATCTGGGGCTATTGCACTAGTATAACAGTCACTCACACGTAGTATTAATAAATAAGTAAGCAAAGACAAGTCTGAATTCAAAATAGAGAGCGCTGCCCTTCATACAACTTTGACTCGATCGAAATAGTCCGACAATACCACCTGAAAATATAAACATTATGTTTTAGTTTAATGAGATATAGGAAGATGTGGTATGAGTGCCAATGAGACAACTCTCCATCCAAGTAACGATTTATAAAAGTAAACCTTTATAGGTCAAGGTACGGCCTTCAACACGGAGCCTTGGCTCACACAGAACAGCAAGCTATAAAGTATATAAAAATAAATAAAAAAAAAAAATAACGCAGCTTATAAGCCATTGGATTCTTACGAAAATAATACTTTACATAAAACACGAAAGGAGGATAACAGCGGATTACGAGCGACCAAAATGCTAATTTTTATTTATTGGTAGTACCTTTTTTTACTATTCAGTGCTTTCTTTTGATTTTTTTTTATCTTAATATACATATGAAATCATACATAAAATTACATTTACTGCGTGGTTGAATATAGAAGTTAAAGGATAGATTTTGTTTTGTTTTCTTTTGATTTCTTATTATTTTCCTATCTAAAGCAATACTTTGGTGAACTTATACTATTTGTATCAAGCTCTTGAATCAACCAATGATATATACATTTATGTATAGCTGTAACTACCAGGCTTTTTTTACTCTTGTTTTCGATACATCCTGCATGTATTCATACCTACCAACTTTTCAAAATCTCCATGGGGATATTATATATATATCAAACGTTAACATAAATCACTGGGTTAATTAAAATTGCTTTGTCATTGTTTATTTCAAAAGTTCCATACACATATCAAATTTTCTCACATCCAATTTGATGTTACATGTAATAGGATTATGAGGGTGATGTACCCTTATGAATTGATAAAATTTGATAATTTGATACTCGAAAATGTTTGGAAAGTATTATTTATGATAAAAACCGAAAAGTTAGCAGAAAGAACATTCAGCAATCTATAAAGAGATAAGAAGAGTGAAAAGAAAGAAAATTTTATAATATAAGAGAAAAGAAGATAGTTTAGAATTGCAAGACTAAACAGAGAAGAGGCCTACTTTTAGGATGAAATTATCATCAGAAGAGATATGTGGCGACCTTTTAGTTCAGTTCTTTAGTTTCAAAAATGATTACACTTTCTGACACTCGAATATATTCAATTAAGACGCTTCACATATACATGTTCATGTGTCTGATAAATAATATTCCAGGAGAGACATCTCTACAGAGGAAGTTTCTTTTATAGGATTATGGAATATTAATACAATTCTGTATTTAGTTTTGCATTTTGCAGTTAATATTGTAGTAAATGCTGTGGAATACTGCGGTGATCTGTGGTAAAAATTATGCACAGACGTTTGCAACATCTCTGGAGTTGCCACATTTCAATCTGATTAAAATACAAACAAAATGTATGAATATTATATGCATGGTATGTGGTGGATAGTTTACGTTTAAGCAGTAGAGTCATCTTCTTGTATAATACTTCTTTTGTGTATAAACATCCCTAAACGTAAATAACGTTTTTTTAAAAAAGATATACATATCCTGATTTAACATTAGGAGTCAAGTGACTTCATCATCACGCAAAAAGTTAAAAACCATTCCAATGTTTTAAAAATTGACGAAAAACTTTGGCATACGGAACTCTGTAAATGTCAAGTACCCTGTTAACACGATCAAAGTTTTTGATGGCTAATTCCACAAATTTGACGGGAAATAAAGAAACTATAAAAATCGTTTATTTATTTATGATTTTTTTCCTCTTTTTATTTTTTGGTTTTAAATTGGCCAAAAATTTCTTGTTAGCAACGTTTTCTTCATTTGAAACGTTCAAAATTCCAAAAAGGAGTATTGACAATATTAAGGTAAGTTTGGTCCAAATTTTAGGGCTATTTTTAAAGTTACTTCATAATTATATTGCTAAAATTGCCATGGCCGTGAATAAGCCCACGTTATGAAGGAGGCAAATATTGAGGCGGGGTCCGGGATAAGTAGCTGAGCATTTCATGGTTTTAAATCCCAGATTTTGCGAAATACCAAGAGATTTTTTGCTTCTTGGCTAAATAGCAGTTCAGGACAAGATGCATAAAAAAAAACGATACATTTAAATCAAAATAATTGATTTATAAAAATGGATAATATGATAGAAAATACTTTAAATTCATTTACTTGTAATGTTGTTCCAAATGGTCCGAAAAGCGAGATTAATCTTACGATGGATAGTTGAGTAACCACAGAAAATATTTGATTTTGGAAACTCTGAAGCGTGGATTTGCATGAGGTGACATTAGGATATCCACTTGTTTTGTTCTCGATTTCTTGTAGTATGTCAAGAACCTGTTCCGAGTGGAAGCCATGTCAAAATGTCTACTCACAAGGTTCATCTGCTTTCACAAATCGTCGGCATGCAGGCACCGTTTTTCATAAAAGTTTTTCTTTTACTCGAACCATTGATAAACTATGTCATTTTCAAAAGTATAACCATGACATTTCGAGAGGAGCAGGACATTTGGACTTTTTTTACCTGTAACACGAAAGGACATTTGCGCTCCAAACACTATGGTCATTTGCGCTTTCAACTTTGATGCACCTGAACAAAATTGACAGGACATTTGCGCGTTTTACCTATGATAGTTTACCTTTACTGTTAACAAAATTGACTAAAGTCATGGAAAGATGTACACATATACTTTGAAAGTTCTTCCGAACAAACGACAAAATCAGAAAAAAATTATTCGTGTAAACCAGACATATTTTATTCCATTCTCAATTTTATATAATAAACATATAGTATATGTTTCTGGGTTAACAATAGAGAAAACGAAACTTTTATGGATGGAACATTTATAATTTTGCCCAAAATTCATCAAAGTGTCTTTAATATTAAAGGATTTTCTAAACTTTTTTACCATGATAACTCCTATGTTATGTTGACGAAGCGCAAATGTCCTATTGAAAAAGCCCTAATTTCCTTTTTTTTTAAAAGCGCAAATGACGTTAAAACTAAAGCGCAAATGTCCATTAAAAAAGCGCAAAACGTCCCGCGCCGATTTGAGTTTGGCATCTATTGACAATCACTAAATTCAAGTTGAATTACAATGTACAAAGTATTTTGCATTGGACAATTCTTCAGTAAACATTCTTTTTCATGGACAGAGGGGTAAACCAAGGAGACAGTATCATTCCTACACTCTTCAAACTTATTTATAAATGACATAGTTGACATTTTGACAATAAAGATTCAAAACCCTGAGAATATTTAATTCTGTTATAGGAAGTCTTCTGTTTGT